GTGAATTGTGGTGAAGGGATAGGACATGGAGCAGGTAAGCCGATAGGAGCCAGAGCTGGCATCTGAGCTTGGTCCTGAAAGTCTTGGGGGAATTGCTGAATCATTACATACAAGCAGGATCAGATGTGCATCTCCTAGGAGAACTGGGGATGGATTTGGATTTGGGACCTAGAGACAGAAAGAAGTTGATTAGGAGCCTGTGGCCAGCCTCCCCTGAGATAGCAGCAGTAAAAACGGGTAGAACAAAACTGCCACACGAATAGTCCTGAGGGGAAGAGCCATTGACCTTCAGGACAGATCTGGGATAGTTATGAGTGGGGAGGAAGAGTCTTTGGTGACCTCAGGGTTTGGTTTGGGGGATTTGGCCTATGATGTATGCAGAAGGGACAGGTTTGGAGGAATGATTAATGATGAGAGTGATATTTATTGAGCACTTCCAGTGTTTCAGGTGCTATCTCATTAAATAAAATATATTATCTCATTGAATCTTCAATGTTCACAATAACCTATGAAGTAGACTCCTGTTATCCCCATTTTAATATGAGGACACTTAGTCAAGAGGTGAAGTAACTATGCGGCTGGGATGGGATGATGAGCAGGCCTGCTCCTTGCAGAATGCATTATCCCAAGTCTGAAGCCCCAGTGAGGTTTCCCAGGCTGCCCTACAGAGAAGCCCGTACCTGCTTCCACAGGCTTCTCCCTTCTTCCCCAGCCCCAGTATCTGGCAGTCCCACAGCTATTTAGTCACTGTCACTGGATCTCCTTCCCTCAGCCCACCCCACCTCAATGCCAGGACCTTGCCCTGAGCAGTCAGAATGGTCACAAACCAAGTGACGAGAGGGCACAGAGCTCCAGAACCCTGGGGCTGAGACCCCACCTTCCTAGTTACAATATGAAGCAGAAGTGGGACTCTCAGGAACAGTCAGAGAAACTGAGAAAACTCAGTTTTCTGTTTTTAATAAAAAAGAAGTTTTGATTTTAATGGAACATTTCAATGACATCAGAAGGTCATGAAAAGTGTCTGTCAGCCCAACCCTATGTTCATTTTCTGTGGGAAAGGGGTAGAGTCCTGAAGCAAACATGCGACTCCCACAGAAGATTCCAGCTCTGTCTCCCTGTCCCAAACCGTGGCTCAGGAACACGCAGTCCAACTTGACTAGCCATGGGACACGGAGGGACTGCCCCTCCTTTGAGGTGTACCCCGGCCACCTTGCTTCTTGCACTGGGGTGTGGGGAGTGCTGCTTCCAAACTGCCTCCCACCAGCTGAGGTAAAGGAATGGAGCAGAGAGGTGACCAGAGAGAGTCCATAGCTTTCTCTTGGGTGAGTTGTTGTGTCTAGAGGGCCCTGGCTTTGGCCTTAACCCTCTAACCCGCAGGTGGCAAACACAAGGCCCAAGGGCTGAATCCGGCCTTCCACCTTGTTTTATCCCTCCTAATACCTCGTTTCTACCCGGAGGCAGCGAGAGCTTGCTTAACAGTTACAGGGCAGTTACATTTATACACTCCTAAAATTACATTCAGCCCTTTGAAGACAACTGAGACGCTGATGAGGCTGATGTGACCCCCCAGTGAAAATGAGTTTGACACCCCTGCTCTAACCTAATTAACCAGCCTACCCAAAGTCACACAGCCAGTAACTGCCCCAGGACCTGGAGGCAGGAGGTTATTTACAATACTGTTTTAGGCAGAAATTAAAATGTTCACTTGCCTCCCATCTCCTCCACCCTCTTAACTGTATGCAAGAGGCCCATCATGACCCCCAGAAAACTTTCTGTCTTGAAGGCCCATAATCTGGGGACAGGGCAGTGAGAGGGACATGGCATCAAGAGTCACTGCTTACCTGTATTTGGGGTTCCAGGCTATCACTGCCTTCACAGTTTCTGCAGGCACAAAGGTCCTCACCAGGCCTCTGAGACTTTCCCTCATCTAATACCACACCCCCCAGCCTCAACCCCACCCCGACCCTGGCTTCTATTCACAGCCTTGCTTGTGCCTATGGTCTTGGAAGGGTTTCTGTCTGCTTTCTTACACATAAACCTCTTCTTGACCTCTAAGCAAGAGGTGCTTGAGGGCCATTTCCTCTACACCGTTCAAGAATGGCTAGTGCCCACATACAGAAGGTAACCACAGAGAACCGGTGATGAAAGCAGTATTCCAACTGTAGATCACAGCCCGGAGGAGGATCATGAAATCAATTTAGAGGGTTATGGCCAGCATCTTTTAAAAAATGAAATAGAGCCCTGACTGGTGTGGCTCAGTGGATTGAGTGCGGGCCTGGGAACTTAAGCAACCACAGATCGATTCCTAGTCAAGGCACATGCCTGGGTTGCAGGCCGGTTCCCATCAGGGGACACATAAGAGGCAACCATACATTGATGTTTCTCTCCCTCTCTCCTTCCCTTCCCCTCTAAAGATAAATAAATTTTAAAAAAAAACTTAAAAAAAAAAAAAGAAACAGAGCCCTGGCTGGTGTGTGGCTCAGTAGATTAGTGCTGGCCTGCGAGCCAAAGGGTCCCCAGTTCGATTCCCAGTCAGGGCACATGCCTGGGTTGCAGGCCGGGTCCCCAGTTGGGGGCACACGAGAGGCAGCCACACACTGTTTCTCTCCTTCTTTCTCCCTCCCTTCCCCTCTCTAAAAATAAAATCTTTAAAAATGAAGTAGAATGCAAGAAACACAATAGAAAATGTGAGGGTGCATGCATAGAACAAGGATAAGTACTGTCTCCGTGAAACTTATTTCAGCTTTTTCACAATATACAATGTGTTTCTTGCTGTGGGTCACTGAACCCCTGGGTGAAAGAACACTGAGTAAGGCACAGAATCGAGACTCATGAGGCAAACACATAAAGGCTGCCTGCTCTGCGTCAGGCCCCATGCTAGGTCCAGGAGACGGATAAGTGAGTAATACAGTCTCTAGTTTCAATCCATCATCTTCTTGTTGGGAAGCCAATAAGCAAACTAACAGTTGTAAGACAGGATGCTTAGTGCTCTGAGAGAGTACGTAGGGGGCTAGGAAGCCCTGACATGAGAGTGGATATCTGGAAGAGCTTCCCAAAGAGGTGATGCAGTCAGAGTTCTTAGTACCTCCTCCATCCTACACCTAGGAAAGGGACTATAGTCAAATGTCAAGAGTTCTAGTCTTAAAGTCTAAAGACAACTTCTAGTCCTGTCTATTCTTCTTAACAAGCAGACCTTAGGCGAGTCCGTCGACCTCCCCACACTGTGTCCTCATCTAGAAAATGGGCATTTCCCCTGTCAGACACAAAGAAGAGACAGATCATGTAGATGAAAGTACTTTGTCAACTATAAACTAGGAAGGGATTTCCTCTATGGATAAGGAAATGGGAAGTGTAGAGATGTAAAGTGTCCTGCCCAACGCTGCAGAGCTGGGGTAGCCGGTCCCCCTCAGTTTCCTACCCCCTGCTCCTGCCTGCAATTCTCCTCCCACTGCACCTGAGCTGCCTTGCAAGGGGTGGAGGGCACGACCCAAAAAGGCCCCCTAGAAACCTGATTATTGAAGATTTGCCTTAAGAATGATATTGTTTTAATGATATTTTGTTAATGGTGGGAGGTAAATAAATATGTGAGAATGTCTCCTGGTTTCCTTCTGTTAATGAATTGGGATCCACCCAAACTCAGTGTTTGAAGTTACATAAGCATCATTCAGATCTTCTGTAACAACTTTCATTTTGGAAAAACAGCATTCCCGTTAAAATGTTATGTAAAAAACATAACATTGTGTGTGTGTGTAGGAACAGGCACACATGAAAACTGGTGAGGCACACACACATATACTCATGGGGAGCAGGTATTTGAGACATGACTTGCTTGTCCTCTCACCCCCAGTGAGACTGGTGTGATGGGGACTGCAGCATGAAGGCCATCAGCTACCTTCACTCTTCAGGGACCAGAAAAGTCCTGACCTTTCTGGAAAGCCTCTTCCCTGGCAGAGTGAGTTCCACCAAATCACAGACTTAGGGTTGGGTAACTCAGAAGTCACCCAGTGCAATCTTACTCTATACCACCCTTCCTGCCAGCCTTGACTTTTAACAGTTCCCTTCCTCCCAAGGCAGTGCATGTCACCTTTGGTCAGATGTAGCTCATAGGAAAAGACCTGATATAGAGCTGAAACTTGCCTTGCTGAAGCTCCTACTTCTTGGGGACAAATGTATATCCCTCACCTTGAGCCACAGGAATCCAGGAGCCATAGCCAGTGAAGGGTGCCTGGGGCCTAAGAGCAAGGAAGGAGGCCAGCAAAAGTCCAATAGCCTGAAGCTCTTCCCTTAGAGACCTCCATCCATCTAAATTGAGACTGGTACTAGGGGCACAAGGGGGATTGAAGGGGGCAGGACTGGGTTTGGAGGATGGGGAGAAAGGTGGAAATCCTAAATACAAATAAAGTAGCTTTGAGCACATCCCTGCACCTCACGTCTCATATGAAGTGGGGGGGTCAGACATTACTAAGTCAGTTCCAGCGCTGATACTCTGGTGTCCCGCGTCTGTCTTTCCGGATTCAATAGTACTTTTCTTTTATGTGAAATAGTGGGTCCACGATTCGAGGGCCAAGCAGGAAGTAAGAACACTGCTCTGAACCCTTCCATCATGGGCAGACCTGAGTTAGACTTCGCAGCTTGCCCTGGTTACCCGAGAACAGACAAGTAAACCAGAACTCCCCAGCACAGAGTAGGGAAACAAGAGCTTTGGAGTGTCCTTTTAAGTTGTTGGGAAGGGGGTGTGGCCGAGGAGACTGGGAGGCTTCAGCGGGACGAAAGGGGGGTGGCCGGGGGCGTGGCCGTAGCGACTGGAATGTTGTTGGGTCCTCGCACCGCATAGTAAGGAGGGGCCACTCCCCTTTTCTCCGAGAGGGCCAATTGGAGCGCCCGAGCGGTTTCAAGTCTCCCCTGCCAGCCTGCCCGCCTGCCACCCCACCCCCCTCAGGGAGTCGCTTTTTCTGTAACGAAATAGCAGAGCTCCGGATGTTCCGCAGCCTCGGCTGCTCATTGACAGAGGGTCCTGGGGCATAGGATGGTGCTCCGCGACGCCAGGCGCCGGTAGACCGTGGAGAGGCCGAATCCGGAGCCGGGAGGCGCGCGGGGGTGGGCGCTGCAGCCGCGGGTTGTTTATCTGGAGTACGGAGGGGAGGGGGGAGCCTGGAAACCGCCCCGTGTCCCATTTCCTCCTCTTGTTTTCGCTCCGGATTCTCCATGTTGGACCCAAACTGAGGAGCCCGGAGCTGCCGCCGGGGGATCGGGGCCAGCGGCACCCGGGGAAGCTGCTGCCCGGGCCGCCCGCTCTCCGTACAGGCCGCCTCCCTTCGTGGGCCAGGGAGGGAACAAGAGCAGGGATGTGAACAGCTGTGGGAGTCCGAGTCTCGCGAGCAGGAGCCGGAGCGGGCCCCCGCCCAGGCCCCCCAGCCCAGCCCAGCCTGCGCGCTCGCCGGTCCTCCCGCCCAGCCAGCCCGGGCCCGTGGGATTGTTAGATGGAACACGGCTCCATCATCACCCAGGCGCGGAGGGAAGACGCCCTGGTGCTTACCAAGCAAGGTAGGGGCAAGCAACTTCCCAAAACTTTGCGTCGCCCCCGATCGGGAAGGGGGCTAACGCAGCACCGAAGCCGAGTCCTGGCCCCCGACCCACCAGGCTCAGAGCCGGCGATTCCGACCGGACCCCCGAGTCCATCCGCCCCCGCATCCGGGTGCATACTCAGACCCCCGTGGGGGTTGCGCGGGCCCCGGACTCTGGGCGCCCGAGGGGGAGGGGCGTCGTCTGCGCAGCTGTCAATCCGTCCTGTACCCCCTCCCCCCGGGAAGAGACTAAGGGGTAGCGCTGGAAGCAAGAGTCCACCCGTGTGCGTCCCCTTCTGAGTTGGGGGGGTGGGTCGCCACTTTTCCGCGCTACAGCGCACGCTGCCCTAACACCGAGGAGAGATGAGTGGTGAAGGGGACGGAGGGGTACCGAGCTGGAATGGAGCCGGGACTGGAGTCCAGCACTTCCCAGGGCACCCCCCCACCCCCAGTCCCGGGTCGCCCAGGCTGCGGGCGGTGTCGGCGTGCGGGGAGACTTGGGACCAAGTTCACAGCTCCGAGGTGGGGGGCGGCAGCGGCCGCGATGGGGGAGGGGCCGAGCCCTGATGGACCTGACCTGGCTGCCCGCGGCCCTGCGCTGGGCCCGGGACCTTGACGGCGCGGGGCTCTCGAACGGACGCTTCCTGCCGCTTTCGCTGAGCAAACCAGCCGGACCCCGAGGCACGGCCTGAGCCCCTCCCCGCCCCGATGCACTTCCCCGGGGCCGTCTCCGCACACAGAGCCGCGTTTGTTTAGCCCGGGAGCGGTGTCCCTGGTTACATAATTCGCCGATGGCATCAGACCCAGCGTGTTTCTAAGTCGCGCAGCGAAAAGAGCGAGTTCTCTGTGGGCTTCGGCTCGCGGCCCCCGCCTTCCAGAGGGTCAGGTGGAGATACAAGGAGGCTAGCAGGCAGCTTTCTCTGGGGTGGGCTTGGGGACCGGAGGGAAATGAGGCCGAGGCCTCTCCCCGGGTGGGGGAAAGGTTAGGACCGGAGGGTCGGATCGCTCTTAGAGTTTGGTCGTGGTGGAGGCCCCAAACTGTTTTCCCCTCCCCCCACGTTCCTCTTTGGGCCTTAAGGAATGTGTCTAAAAGAGCGAACAGAATTTCCGCGGGGTGTAAGAACTAGCGTCATTTTTTTCTGGAGAACTTCCCAGACTGAGGCCACCTGGCCCTGTGCTGTGGAGAGCACACTCTTGGGACCGAATTCGGAGCTACTACCCTTCTCTGGACTTCACCTCTGCCTCAGAACGGGGCGTAAAGGGCTGGTGCTGCAATGTAACACATGGAGGCCTAAAGTTTGGTCGGGGGGCCACCTGCGGGATCTCCGTGTTGTCCCCAGTCCCCTTATTTGGTAACATTAGTCAGCAGATCACTTACTCGTATGGTCAAGGGCCCTAAGGAGCTCCCCAACTTGTCTAAGGACATAGAAGCTGGGCTGGTGGTGTCAGCCTTTCCCAAATTCTCCTTATGGGGGCCTGCCTCTGTCTGTCACTAGTTCTTTCAATGAGTCTCTCCTGAGAAAGGGGACAACCTTGCCAACTCGAATCTCAACCCCTCCAGAGTCCCTGACTTCCTGCTCCCCTGGCCGCATCACTAACCACTTTGTGTGACCCAGGCTGCAACTTCACCCCTCTGCTGGCTGCTCAGCTGGGCTGAGGGCAGAAGGAAGGTGAAGCTTTCTGTGTTGATAACTTCACTCTCTTTTCCATCCTCACCCCAGGAAAGGACTGAGGAGCTAGCCAAAGCTGAAGAAATTTGGGTGTGGAAGGATTCCAGAGATGGGCAGTGTTGATGAGAAGGGAAGACCAGCCCTGTGCTTCCCCACTCAAGCCCTCTCCTCCCTAGGGCTCAGGAGGGTGCCTTCTGCGGGAGGACACCACACCAGGAGTGAGGGAAAGCTGGGCTGCTGAAGGGACATCTTACAAGTCAGAGCCTGAGGGTTCATCAGGGTGAATGGCCGGGAAGAGAATAGATGGCGGCAGCAAGCAAAGCAGCTGGCTTCCTGACAGTGGTTAGTTGTTGATGCTGGTTGGGTTTTCTTGGAGTTAGGTTTTTCATTTCCTTTTTTTGTCTGCTTGCCCTTTGGACTTATCCCTGGAGGAATCTGAATTCTTAAGCCAACAGCCATGGCTGTGTGTGTGTTGTGTGTCTCTCTCTCTCTCTCTCTCTCTCCATGTGATTCGATTGCATTCCAGAGAACGCTTGCTTACTTCATGGGCTGCTTGGACAACCAGCAAGCCAGGCTTCTGAGTCCCTTGTCATTTACAAACAAATCTTGCACATAGATAGATAGATAGATAGATATGGAGATAGGGAGCAAATGTTTTAATTAACTACTTTAGGAACTTCTTGCCCTCCCTCCTCCATAGCACCTCATCTGCAGGCCCTCCTTCCTTTGGAAAAAGGAGAAGTGTAATGCAATTTATTAAGAAATAAATTTCTAGGGAAAAAAACAAGTTGCTCCTAGCTTGAGTGGTTTTTTAGTGAAATTGTCATTTCAGGGTTGTGTTTTTTATTTACTTGTATGTTTGTTCATTTTAGCACTCAGAGCTTTAACGTTGGCTGGGTGTGTTGATGATTCAAAAAAATTATGGTAGGGGAAGTAGAGGAAAGTTGCCGAAAGCACAGATGATAACAGGGCCAAAGCTGGATCATCTTCCCAGAGAGATGGGTGAAATGGCTTCCTGGTACAGCCAGGTCGGGGTTGTGTGTAATATTCAAAGTGAAAAGGTTAGTACCAGTTTGACCAGGGAATGGCCCTTTAATGCAGCCCCATATGAGGGTGTCACCCCATTGCTGGGAGGTTGTACTGTGGGTTTGGGGGTAAGGTGAGGAAGTCAAGGGCACATGGCACCCCCTAGAACCTCCCAGTGTGAAATGAGAGAGTGGAGGCAGCCTCTTCCAAGGCTCAGAGTGACCCACAGGCCCTTCCACAGGGGAGTCAGGACCTTGTGGACCTTTTCTGTTTTCCACAAGACCTGATGTCCCTTCCTTTCAGGGAGAGGGTGATGACACCTGGGGTTGTCTTCTCAGCTGTGCAACTGAGCAGGCACCTATACCTGACCATCCCTAAGAATTAGGATGGTGGCACATTTTTCTGGCTTCTGCTTTCTCCCCATGGGGGAGAAATTCTGCCTTACTCTGTCATGGAAAGTCCAAGCACCTTTCACTGTAATTGTAACTAAGCCCATAACTTGAAAAGCTCTGATTTTTTTTCTCTTAAGATTTTATTTATGTACGTTTAGGGAGGGGGGAAGGGAGGGAGAAAGAGAGGGAGAGAAACATCAGTGTGTGAGGGATCCATACATTGGTTGTCTCTCACACACCGCCCAACCGTCATATCCACTGAGCCACACCAGCCAGGGCTTAGGTTGAGTCTTGTTGGGGCTTTCTTCCTTAATTTGCTCTCGAGGGTCAAGGGTACCTGTCTGTAGCTGGCTCCTCCAGTCCCACTGGTTCCTTTCCCTCCTTCCCCCTTCTTCAGTCTCGGCCTCTGTGGCTGCCCAGGCTCACTTCTGTGTCTCCTTTGGAGTTCCCCTCCCCCTCCCCTGGAGTGGGTAGTGGCCTGTGGGGTGACTTGAGCTTGTGTTTGCTCATGGGAGTACTGCTAACTCAGCAGTGAAGTTTGAAATGCCTGACATCCTGGGGCGGGGAGTTTGCAGTTCTGCTGCTGAGTTTGACTTACAAAGCCTGCTTTCCTGTTCGTCCCCCAGTCAGGACACGGAGGAGAGGCATCCCAGTAAACAAACGAGTAAAATTTAAAAGAATTAAAAAAAAAAACAAAACAGTAAATACTGTATCAGTCACATTTCTAGGCAAGGGGAATTGATGCTTCCAGCCATTCTGTGGAGAATTTATTAATAGAAGTGTTTAGAACAAAGTTTTGGAAAGAAAGATAATATGTAATTATGTACATATTTATATACAAACATATCCTTTTCTTTTTCCTCAAGGGTCTTCCTGCTAGTTTTGGGTAATTTGGGAGTTTTAGGGGCAGTAGTAGGAAAGTTGCCGAAAGCACAGATGATAACAGGGCCAAAGCTGGATCATCTTCCCAGAGAGACGGGTGAAATGGCTTCCTGGTACAGCCAGGTCGGGGTTGTGTGTAATATTCAAAGTGAAAAAGTTAGTACCAGTTTGACCAGGGAATGGCCCTTTAATGCAGCCCCATATGAGGGTGTCACCCCATTGCTGGGAGGTTGTACTGTGGGTTTGGGGGTAAGGTGAGGAAGTCAGGGGCACATGGCACCCCCTAGAACCTCCCAGTGTGAAATGAGAGAGTGGTCCGTTAGTCCCATTTCGGGATAGGTAGTAGAGGGAGGGGAGGCAGGGGTAGCAAAGTGTTCGTTGTTACTTCAGAGAATTCATTCACGAGCAAAATGGGTTGCTTCAGGCCCGGGTGCAAATCCTTTCTGTCCCTGTTCACAGTAAGACTTGCCACATCACTTTAGTGTTCTGAGTGACTTATCTGTGAAATAGGAATATTGATATCGACATGTCTATAATGCCTGGTACTTGGTGGGTGATTGATAATAAAGTCTTTTTTTTACACAGCCAGACCACTGCTGCTTAGTTTCTCCTCCATTCCCAGGACACAATGCAAATAGCACACAATCATGTGGGTTTTATTGTTAAAAGACAGGTGGCAGAGGTCAGAGGGGACACTGATGTGAAGGCTTGGGCCTTCTGGAAGGATCAACCTCATGACCTTGCTACACAGACCCCTTCTTTGTGCCAGTGTGACTTGGGGTGGGATTTTTATCTGTGCTAATGCAAGTAGCATGTGCCTTGGGGCTTCTGCGGTTCTGCCTGGCGCCTGGGCATCTGGGGATGGGAGAGGCCAGGAAGCCATGCACCTACTGTGAAGAGTGCCTGAAGTCTCTGAACAGTTGCTCGGCCTCTCAGAAATGACCATAATGAAGATTTGAGATGACTGTGTGCTGCATTCTCTTACCTTCTGTACTTGCTTTGAGAATTAA